AGTATCACTTCGATTTGCCATAATTTTTTGCTTTTTTTATTATATTAATAATACGCTTAATGGAATGTTAAGAATATGACAAAACATAACATACAATTAATAAGGATAGAAAATCTTTGCCTCTATAAAGGTAAAAATAATGCACCAGTAAATCAGTTTAAGGGGGCAAATAATGTCCTTTAATAGAAAAGGTGTGACTGCTGTGGAAGAGAGGGGGTACACAGAAGAATGTTAAATGCCCCAGGGGGTACGCCGCTGTAAAAAGTTTGAGAACCACTGAATTAGATTAATTAATCGCCACATTATGCAATTATTAGATTAAACATTTTAATCGATTGACAGCCCTTTACAAAACAACAGGTTTAAATCTAGCACAGTTTATATATTTTCAATTAATACATTATGTCTGAGTATAGTGACTTCTGTGATTAGAACTGCAGGAATCAGTTGACGGTTTACTAGTGCCTAAAAATTGACAGAGCAGTGTTTGTCTAATAAGCAGTGAGAAAAGCAAGCTTCTGGCAGTGGTGGCAGTGACTATAGTTGGCTGTTTCTTTAACAACATCAGGACCCGTATTCACAAAGCATTTTATCTTACCACTAAGAGTTCTCCTAAATAGAGGTAAAAGTTTTTTTACTAAGAGTTTTCTCTTAACCTATTCTCAAAGCTTCTGAGACAAACTTTTACTAAGGAATAGAGAGAAGTCTTAAGCTAAGAGTAAGGGCGGGGTTGACCTCGTTGCTATGGATTATGTCAGCATGCTTACTAACTATGCCCACAGTGGTTGGCTGATAGGGGAGGGGTCTCTGTCAGAGATTTATTCATAGAAATATTGTAGATATTATGTTGCCATATTGAGATAAAGGTTTAAAAATAAAAAAAAATGCTCATTCAAATAAAGATTTAAAAATGCAGGCTAAGTGTCACAAATTAAACAAGTATATGTTCAGTTAATTGTCAGCCTCTTACATGTGTGCTCCTCGTAAACAATTAGCGGATATGCATATAAACAGCCTTTTAAATAACGGAGTAGAATAATCATGGCTGATAGTAAGGCATGTAAAAGAAAACCAAACTGGACTGCAAGAACAGCTGTTACTTCTTGCCCAACTTGTTAATGAAAACAGTCACAATACCCTCGCGATTAAGGCGACACCTTTTTAAAAGCTCATTATCGTCAAACGTTTAATTCTAAATTCTAATTTAGTCTAAAATATTTCTGTTCCGAGGCAGACTGCCGACTGCCGGCAACAGCATTTTAGGATAGTTTGTGACTTGATCTTAGTGACTTAGGAGTCCTCTTCACTACTCCTAACGTTTCACAGATTTAGGAGTTAATTTTTAGGAGTTAATTTTAGCACTAAAACACTTTGTGAAATACTCTTAGAGCAAAAATGTAGGAGTGCTAAATTTAGGACTGACACGCCCATTATTTTTAAGATTTTCTCCTAAATCGGCAAGTTATGAGCTACT